AGAAATTAAATTCATCTAATATAGTTCTTGCAACTAAATTCAACAAAAATTAATATTTAGCGATAAGGGTTTTAAAATGGCTAACCTGAGTTTTCTACCCACACACTACGTCAGATGAATTCTCAGACGCACGGAAAGCAGCTGCTTCTTGGTATTCAAGCCCCGCCTGCGACACCTAGAAAGCTCTAGAGAAACAGGTGGTGACGAGATTGTTGAATTAGCTGCTTTTGAAACACGACAACTGTGATCAAGTCACGATTTTCTCGGTATAAAAGATGCTGCCGCACAACTGGAAACCATACATTCGAGAACGACCCAAAGCTATCATAAGCCATGGGGTGGCTAACTCGAATAGCTTTTGTGCTCTTCTTCACTTGCATGCAGGTTTATCCTGCCTTAGGAGCTTCAGCTGACATATGGGGGAACCCTAGCACGGCAGAAGGTTTACTACAGGCGTTTACGCAACAACTCCAAGGATCTGGGGCATTTTCGTATGACCAAATGGATGATATATCATCCATCAGCGATACCATTATGGACGCCATCGAGAGAAGTGCTCGCTCGAATAAAAGCTCCAAATCCAAGCTACAAGCTCTGAATATGGCTTTCGCCTCTTCAGTAGCAGAAATAGCTGCGTCTGGAGAGGGAGGACAATCCCTCTCGGTCAAAACTGGAGCAATTATTGATGCATTGGCAAGCGCATTTTTGCAGACCACGGGCACAGTAGATCAAGTATTCTTAAACGAAATGAACGAATTGATAAGTATGTTTACTCAAGCGAGTGTAAACGAAGTCTCCGGAACAGGAGGTGGTTATGGTGCAAGCGCATCCTCCGCAGCTGCTTCTGCCGCTGGTTTTACTGGAGCACCACAAAGTTATAGTGGTAGTTACAGACCTATTTCTAGTGCTGGTAGTTACAGACCTAGTTCTAGTGCTGCTGCCTCTGCTTCTGCTGAATCAGCTTCTGGGGCAGGAAGACAGCGGGAAGATTCTGGTGCTGCTGCCGCCGCTGCTGCTGCAGGAGGTATGTTTCACATCTCTCTCTCTCTCATCCATAACAGAAGTACCCTCCAAAATAAATTATTAAATTATTTAATTTGTAATTAAAGGTGTTTGCTTTCAAGCATGTAGAAAACGTCATATCCCTCACGATGTATTTGAATGTTAGGTATTTCTGAAGGGCAAAATATATGGTACATGATTTTGTTTGAAGATTTTGCTTTGATGAGCCTGTTTTATTCTAATATGCTTGAATCATTAATTATTTTATGATTTAATTAATAGTTATCTTGATCTAACAATTTGGCAATAATGTTGCATTTCGGCAGTATCTAGTTTCTAAATTGAGTAATATCTAAATTAAGTAGATATCTAAATTAAGTAGATATCTAAATTAAGTAGATTGTGTTTAAATCATTCTTCAATTCTGAGTGCCTTTAAATCATTCCTGAATTCTGTATTGTTCAACAATACATTTTTAGATTCACAATCATCCAGCTTCTTAACATTTCATTTTCTGAAGAGTCTTTTTTCCTAAAATTATTTCACCTGAATTTTTATCATTTAAAGAAGGAATCTCTCTTTATGAGTGTAAAAATTATTTTTCTGGAAAATGCTTCTGTGAGTTTTATTAAGTGGAAAGACAAAATTTGAGTTTGAAGATTTTGAAGACTATAGGTATTTTTGCAAATGAAATATTTTTAAATTAAAATCAAGCTTGAATTGAGTTTGCGATGAATCATATGTTTTGCAAAAGAAAATTATGAATGTTTCGCGTTTGAAAATAATGGAGGGCTATTATCAAATAAAACTGTCGGGTCTTGTTAACAAAATATTGCATGCGAATATTATTAGGGATTTTTAGGTCATTTATAGAGATGAACATGACCACTCTTCTATGAGATCAGACCAGAGCCATTCACTCTTTGAACTGAATTGGTTCTTTTTTATGATTCACTGCTCATCCTCGATGAAAAGACCTGGATGTTGGATTGAATCGAGAACGGTTAGGAAGGATGGAGCGAAGAGCGGAAGTAATCGAACGAACAGTGGGATCGAGAACTGTTAGCGAGAATGGAGGGAAGAGATTAAAGAAATGAACGAGCACTGGGATCGAAAGAATCGGCTCATTCTCAGGATGATTTACGATAGATATAAGATAATTTTCTTTGAACTGTATTTTTGAGTTTGCTTAAAACATTCTTTCTACATAGACCTAAAAAAATTTAGAATAAAAAAATGAAAATTTGAGAAATGATAAAAATTTAAACTCACATTTAATATGGGATAATAAACATTTTTTTCTTCACTAAAATGAGAATCGGGCATTCTTGGCACGCTTCCTACAAAAGTTGTCAGTGGACGAGCTCTAAAAGAACTACATGGTTTTCCCTTTTTACGTTTTGGGGCAGCGAGGACTTGACAAGAGAATAGAAAAGAGTGAAATGCCCACTGCCCAGGTCAGAGCCATTGTGTATGAAACTATTCAGAGAATGAATGCCGTTAATTTCTGGACTCATGTTTACACCGATGGATCAATGATTCAGTGAGGTACTGGAGCTGGTGAAGGAATCTATTTTAACCATTTGCATTCTATAAGGAAGTGTTAAGAGGTAATACCAGTTTTCATGCTTAAATTGAAGCTATATTTATTGCTCTGAATCAGATGAGAACTCGGAGGAGTAATTTCGCTCAGGCTGTTATTTTGTCCGACAGCAAAGCTGCTTTGCAGGCTATCTCCAACAACAAATTTTGCACTTCTAAACGAATTGACGAATGTAGGAAGTTTCTCAACACTCTGACTGATTAAATTGTCTTGCAGTTAATTCTTGCTCATCGTGGCACTGAGGGAAATGAAAGGGGCGATTTCCTGGCAAAGAAAGGAACTACTATTCTACAAACCATTAATAACCATATGGCTTTTAATTCTGTAAAACTCCTAATTATATTAGAATTGAAGAAGAGGTTTACCTCCTACCTATTAAATGAATCTAAGGGAAAGGTCTGGGAGTGTATCACCTGCTCAAGCCAGTTATTCCAGATTTTCTTTATCGATTCTTTTAGTCAGTGCGTGAACGAATAGTACATGTTCATGTCCGGATCCTGTACTGCATGACTGAGGGAATTATTTAAGCTACTTTTCAGAATGTAATCAAATCGTCTTCAATTCATTTGAATTTTCATTTCATTCGCATTCATCTATCATACTAACTGAGACATTTGTTCCTTCCTCGAGATTTTTTAACTTTCTTGTCACTGCAAAGCAAATTATCTTACGTAGCAAAGAACAAAATACATTTTATCTTTATACTTTTACTTATAAGTATACATTGAGAATTACTCTTATATCTACCATTGTTATAGGCAGTTCGATAAACATTAACCTGTGTTTTTCCTTTCTCAAATATAGGCTGTATGTGGTTTTTTATATAGCATTTTGTTAATCTGCATTTCTTTTTTAATTCTTAAACGGACATTTTCTGAATTGACATGCCGATTTTGATTTACTGAATTAAATTTTAGGTCTCAAATTACTCTCAAATGAATATTTTCTTTAAACAGCTCAAGCAAAATTTTTATGAATTAATATTCGAATCTCCTTCCGTAAACTGAATTGAATTTTGTCCATATTTGAAAATATCTCTTTTATAATTTAATTTTCTTCCTTCTTTCATAGTTAATATCTTATCGAGATTCATTCGAATTACTCTGTCTTCATTTCTTATTTGTTAAATATATATATATATATATTTATATTTCAACTAAAATATTTTAATTATAATTTTAAAATTCTGCATGTCATGCTAAAGGTATTTTTTTGTCATATTTCACAAAATGAGAAATTCTTTAATCCACATTGAATTATTTACATTCAGAAATAAAAAGAGAATAATAACATTAGCAAATTTGAGAGATATTATAAAATTTTTATGAAATTTATTTATTTTTATTTGAGAATGGAAATTTCATAATAATATCTAAAAATTTCTCTTAGCAAAAATACATTGTTATTTTATGAACATGGTAAAAGATTGTTGGAAAATCGATAATCAAAACATAACAGAAAGGTTATCTTGCGAAAATCTCCGTACACTTATACGTAAATACAAATTTCTGTGATAGAAATTTGCACATATAGCATTTCTGTTAGATAGTATTTTTTAGGATATTTTGTAGCATGTATGATAGCTTTCAAACGCCTGATCTTTGATATAAATGTCATATATGTCCAACCAGCTTAGATTCTGAAAATTTTATTATCTTCCTGGTACATTAATGTAGTCTACATTTCCGTGAATTTTAAATATCTTCCTATTCTGCTTCCTTTCGGATAACTTATAATATATTAAGTTTGCGGTTAGATTTCTTTTTCTAATTATATCAATTCTAGCCTTCTCTCCCATTAATTTTAACAGTTTCTTAAAAATTAATTGGTGAAGTATTTGATAAGAACTTTATTTTCCATATAGTTCGAAATAAGGAGGTATATTTTAAAACTTCGATCTCAAAATTTCCTATTCCTTTTAAATATTATTTTACTATTAAATTCTTCCAAGATTAACACTTTTAATTGTGGTAGATGCAGCTGTGTAATAAGCCATTTGTACATAACATATTAATTGATACCACTGTAGAGATTCTTTGTAACTTACCACACGATATTTCTTAAATATCTTGTACGTTAAGTAATCGGAAAGGTTATTTAACGTCAACCCCATACTTTCTATTTAACGTTCAAATCCGCGAAGTAAATTAAGTTAACTTTTACGAGAATCAGAATGTCACGCACGAAAAACAAACTTTTATTAGGTATCCCAAAATGATGTGATTTTTTGGCCGAATAAATCAAAGTTCATAATACTGTTCTGGAACACTTGTCCGTTTCCCAACTTAACTGTCACGAAAAATTTCGAAACGATTGTTCGTCGAATTATGAATAAGATTTAGTATGTTTATTAACGTTGAGTGACACTTAAATAAAAAGTTCGTGTCTTTTAAAGGGTATGGAGGCAGAGGATACGGTCGTGGCTACGAAGGTGAAGCCGGTGCTTCTGCTGCTGCATCTGCCGGTGGAGCAGGACGTGGTGCAGGCGGTGAAGGAAGAGACGCTGGAGCTGCTGCTGCCGCTATGGCTGCTGCTGCTGCTGCAGCCACTGCTGGACGAGGTGGTTACGGAGGCAGAGGTGGAGAGGGTGCTGGCGGTGCCGCTGCTGCTTCTGCTGCTGCAGGAGGACGTGGACCTGGAAGACAAGGCGAAGGAGCTGATGCCGCTGCCGCCGCCGCTGCCGCAGCAGCGGCTGCCGCTGGAAGTATGCAGTTCCGTCCTATTTCATTCAAAAACATAATGAATTTTAAACATAATCCTACTTTGAGTTCTATATTATTACAAGCGCTTTACGCAAAACCCTGATTACTCTATTAATTGCTTTATCCTACAGTAATTCCTATCTAGCGGGAAAAGCTTTCTAAACGGCATCCTCTTTTTGTTAGCTTTATTTTCAACCGATTGCGATTCATGAAATCATGTCTTGGATTCTCAGTGGTCACTCGGAACCGCAACACTGTCCAAAATACATTCTAACTCTATTGATATGTGTATGCAATAGACGCCGAAAAACGTTCTTTCCTATTTCATTTTTAAAAATATTTCTGAATAAGTTTTAAAGAAATTTTTATTGTCGAAATTTTTAATATTTAGCTATCATTCCTGCTCGAGTGCAAGTCTGCCTCAGTAAATCGGTAAATAATTTTGACTTCTGAATAGTCCGTTTTTTTAGACGTGCCTAGCTTGTACGAATTGTCTGCTCAATATTACTTGATATTAACAGTATATTTAACGCAACTGACGAATTTAGTGCAAATAATTTATACCTCTGCAGCGAGACTCAAATCAGTTAAACCGTAATATCTATTAGGATATGCAGCTCAATCTATTTTGTGAATTTGCCAGATGTTTCAAACTACGTAGAGAAACCACATATAATTACCCTTAATTTCACTAGGTGATTAAGAATTTCATAATATGCACCATTGTTTCTTTTATTCTAATGTTCGACACGCATTTAACTAGAGTTGAGATACTTTGATCCCTTTTAAACAGATTACAACAAGCCTGAGGAAGACCACGTAATTGGACATCTGTGCGAATAATTAGTTCCGGATTTTAAAGCTTGCTCTCTGACTTAACACCATGAACTTGACACAGATAGATATTTGATATATATGTCATATATATCCAACCAGCTTAAATTCTGAAATTTTATTATCTTCCTGGTATATTAATTAAATCTACATTTCCGTGAATTTTAAATATCTTCCCATTCGATTTCCTTTCGGGTAAACTATAATATGTTAAGTTTGCGGTTAGATCTCTTTTTTCTGATTATTTCAATTCTAGACTTCTGTCTCATTAATTTTAACAGTTTTTTAAAAACTAATTAGTCAAGTATTTGATAAGAACTGAATTTCCGTATAGATCGAATTAAGGAGGTATATTTTAAAACTTCGATCTCAAAATTTCCTATTTCTTTTAAATATTACCTTACTATTCATGTCTTCCAAGATTAACACATTTAATTGTGGTAGATGCAGCTGTCTAATAAGACATTTGTACATAACATATTAATTGATACCACTAAAGAGATTCTTTGTAACTTACCACACGATATTTCTTAAATATTTTGTACGTTATGTAACCGGAAAAGTTATTTAACGTCAATCGCATACTTTCTATTTAACGTTCAAATGCGCAAAGTGAATTAAGTTAACATTTACGAGAATGTCACGCACGAAAAACAAAATTTTATTATTTATCCCAACATCATGTGATTTTATGGCCGAAAAATTCAAAGTTGAAAATATTGTTTTGAACAATTGTCCGTTTCCTAACTTAACTGTGTGGAAAAATTTCGAAACGATTGTTCATCAAATTATGAATAAGATTTAGTATGTTTACTAACGTTGATTGACCCTTAAATAAAATGTTCGTGTCTTTTAAAGTGTATGGAGGCAGAGGATACGGTCGTGGCTACGAAGGTGAAGGCGGTGCTTCTGCTGCTGCATCTGCCGGTGGAGCAGGACGTGGTGCAGGCGGTGAAGGAAGAGACGCTGGAGCTGCTGCTGCCGCTATGGCTGCTGCTGCTGCAGCCGCTGCTGGACGAGGTGGTTACGGAGGCAGAGGTGGAGAGGGTGCTGGCGGTGCCGCTGCTGCTTCTGCTGCTGCAGGAGGACGTGGACCTGGAAGACAAGGCGAAGGAGCTGATGCCGCTGCCGCCGCCGCTGCCGCAGCCGCGGCTGCCGCTGGAAGTATGCAGTTCCGTCCTATTGTCCTATTTCATTCAAAAACATAATGAATTTTAAACATAATCCTACTTTGAGTTCTATATTATTACAAGCGCTTTACGCAAAACCCTGATTACGCTATTAATTGCTTTATCCTACAGTAATTCCTATCTAGCCGGAAAAGCTTTCTAAACGGCATCATCTTTTTGTTACCTTTAATTTCAACCGATTGCGATTCATGAAATCTTTTCTTGGATTCTCAGTGGTCACTCGGAACCGCAACACTGTCCAAAATACATTCTAACTCTATTGATATGTGTATGCAATAGACGCCGAAAAATGTTCTTTCACATTTCATTTTTAAAAATATTTCTGAATAAGTTTTAAAGTAATTTTTATTGTCGAAATTTTTAATATTTAGCTATCGTTCCTGCTCGAGTGCAAGTCTGCCTCTGTAAATCCGTAAATAATTTCGACTTCTAAATAGTCCGTTTTTTATAGACGTGCTTAGCTTGTACGAATTGTCTGCTCAATATTACTTGATATTAACAGTATATTTAACGCAACTGACGAATTTAGTGCAAATAATTTATACCTCTGCAGCGAGACCCAAATCAGTTAAACCGTAATATCTATCAGGATATGCAGCTCAGTCTATTTTGTGAATTTACCAGATATCTCAAACTACGTAGAGAAATAACATATAATTACCCTTAATTTCACTAGGTGATTAAGAATTTCATAATATGCACCATTGTTTCTTTTATTTTAACGTCCAAAACGCATTTAACTAGAGTTGAAATACTTTGATCCCTTTTAAACAGATTACAACAAGCCTGAGGAAGAACACGTAATTGGACATCTGTGCGAATAATTAGTTCCGGATTTTAAAGCTTGCTCTCTGACTTAACACCATGAACTTGACACAGATAGATATTTGATATAAATGTCATATATATCCAACCAGCTTAAATTCTGAAATTTTATTATCTTCCTGGTATATTAATTAAATCTACATTTCCGTGAATTTTAAATATCTTCCCATTCGATTTCCTTTCGGGTAAACTATAATATGTTAAGTTTGCGGTTAGATCTCTTTTTCTGATTATTTCAATTCTAGACTTCTGTCTCATTAATTTTAACAGTTTTTTAAAAACTAATTAGTGAAGTATTTGATAAGAACTGAATTTCCGTATAGATCGAATTAAGGAGGTATATTTTAAAACTTCGATCTCAAAACTTCCTATTTCTTTTAAATATTACATTACTATTAATTTCTTCCAAGATTAACACTTTTAATTGTGGTAGATGCAGCTGTCTAATAAGACATTTGTACATAACATATTAATTGATACCAGTGAAAAGATTCTTTGTAACTTACCACACGATATTTCTTAAATATTTTGTACGTTATGTAACTGGAAAAGTTATTTAACGTCAATCCCATACTTTCTATTTAACGTTCAAATGCGCAAAGTAAATTAAGTTAACATTTACGAGAATGTCACGCACGAAAAACAAAATTTTATTATTTATCCCAACATCATGTGATTTTATGGCCGAAAAATTCAAAGTTGAAAATATTGTTTTGAACAATTGTCCGTTTCCTAACTTAACTGTGTGGAAAAATTTCGAAACGATTGTTCATCAAATTATGAATAAGATTTAGTATGTTTACTAACGTTGATTGACCCTTAAATAAAATGTTCGTGTCTTTTAAAGTGTATGGAGGCAGAGGATACGGTCGTGGCTACGAAGGTGAAGGCGGTGCTTCTGCTGCTGCATCTGCCGGTGGAGCAGGACGTGGTGCAGGCGGTGAAGGAAGAGACGCTGGAGCTGCTGCTGCCGCTATGGCTGCTGCTGCTGCAGCCGCTGCTGGACGAGGTGGTTACGGAGGCAGAGGTGGAGAGGGTGCTGGCGGTGCCGCTGCTGCTTCTGCTGCTGCAGGAGGACGTGGACCTGGAAGACAAGGCGAAGGAGCTGATGCCGCTGCCGCCGCCGCTGCCGCAGCTGCGGCTGCCGCTGGAAGTATGCAGTTCCGTCCTATTTCATTCAAAAACATAATGAATTTTAAACATAATCCTACTTTGAGTTCTATATTATTACAAGCGCTTTACGCAAAACCCTGATTACGCTATTAATTGCTTTATCCTACAGTAATTCCTATCTAGCCGGAAAAGCTTTCTAAACGGCATCATCTTTTTGTTACCTTTAATTTTCAACCGATTGCGATTCATGAAATCTTTTCTTGGATTCTCAGTGGTCACTCGGAACCGCAACACTGTCCAAAATACATTCTAACTCTATTGATATGTGTATGCAATAGACGCCGAAAAACGTTCTTTCCCATTTCATTTTTAAAAATATTTCTGAATAAGTTTTAAAGTAATTTTTATTGTCGAAATTTTTAATATTTAGCTATCGTTCCTGCTCGAGTGCAAGTCTGCCTCTGTAAATCCGTAAATAATTTCGACTTCTAAATAGTCCGTTTTTTTTAGACGTGCTTAGCTTGTACGAATTGTCTGCTCAATATTACTTGATATTAACAGTATATTTAACGCAACTGACGAATTTAGTGCAAATAATTTATACCTCTGCAGCGAGACTCAAATCAGTTAAACCGTAATATCTATTAGGATATGCAGCTCAATCTATTTTGTGAATTTGCCAGATGTTTCAAACTACGTAGAGAAACAACATATAATTACCCTTAATTTCACTAGGTGATTAAGAATTTCATAATATACACCATTTCTTCTTTTATTTTAATGTCCGAAACGCATTTAACTAGAGTTGAAATACTTTGATCCCTTTTAAACAGATTACAACAAGCCTGAGGAAGAACCACGTAATTGGACATCTGTGCGAATAATTAGTTCCGGATTTTAAAGCTTGCTCTCTGACTTAACACCATGATGAACTTGACACAGATAGATATTTGATATAAATGTCATATATATCCAACCAGCTTAAATTCTGAAATTTTATTATCTTCCTGGTATATTAATTAAATCTACATTTCCGTGAATTTTAAATATCTTCCCATTCGATTTCCTTTCGGGTAAACTATAATATGTTAAGTTTGCGGTTAGATCTCTTTTTCTGATTATTTCAATTCTAGACTTCTGTCTCATTAATTTTAACAGTTTTTTAAAAACTAATTAGTCAAGTATTTGATAAGAACTGAATTTCCGTATAGATCGAATTAAGGAGGTATATTTTAAAACTTCGATCTCAAAACTTCCTATTTCTTTTAAATATTACCTTACTATTAATTTCTTCCAAGATTAACACTTTTAATTGTGGTAGATGCAGCTGTCTAATAAGACATTTGTACATAACATATTAATTGATACCACTAAAGAGATTCTTTGTAACTTACCACACGATATTTCTTAAATATTTTGTACGTTATGTAACCGGAAAAGTTATTTAACGTCAATCCCATACTTTCTATTTAACGTTCAAATGCGCAAAGTGAATTAATTTAACATTTACGAGAATGTCACGCACGAAAAACAAAATTTTTTTATTTATCCCAACATCATGTGATTTTATGGCCTAAAAATTCAAAGTTGAAAATATTTTTTTGAACAATTGTCCGTTTCCTAACTTAACTGTGTGGAAAAATTTCGAAACGATTGTTCATCAAATTATGAATAATATTTAGTATGTTTACTAACGTTGATTGACCCTTAAATAAAATGTTCGTGTCTTTTAAAGTGTATGGAGGCAGAGGATACGGTCGTGGCTACGAAGGTGAAGGCGGTGCTTCTGCTGCTGCATCTGCCGGTGGAGCAGGACGTGGTGCAGGCGGTGAAGGAAGAGACGCTGGAGCTGCTGCTGCCGCTATGGCTGCTGCTGCTGCAGCCGCTGCTGGACGAGGTGGTTACGGAGGCAGAGGTGGAGAGGGTGCTGGCGGTGCCGCTGCTGCTTCTGCTGCTGCAGGAGGACGTGGACCTGGAAGACAAGGCGAAGGAGCTGATGCCGCTGCCGCCGCCGCTGCCGCAGCCGCGGCTGCCGCTGGAAGTATGCAGTTCCGTCCTATTGTCCTATTTCATTCAAAAACATAATGAATTTTAAACATAATCCTACTTTGAGTTCTATATTATTACAAGCGCTTTACGCAAAACCCTGATTACGCTATTAATTGCTTTATCCTACAGTAATTCCTATCTAGCCGGAAAAGCTTTCTAAACGGCATCATCTTTTTGTTACCTTTAATTCAACCGATTGCGATTCATGAAATCTTTTCTTGGATTCTCAGTGGTCACTCGGAACCGCAACACTGTCCAAAATACATTCTAACTCTATTGATATGTGTATGCAATAGACGCCGAAAAATGTTCTTTCACATTTCATTTTTAAAAATATTTCTGAATAAGTTTTAAAGTAATTTTTATTGTCGAAATTTTTAATATTTAGCTATCGTTCCTGCTCGAGTGCAAGTCTGCCTCAGTAAATCGGTAAATAAATTCGACTTCTAAATAGTCCGTTTTTTATAGACGTGCTTAGCTTGTACGAATTGTATGCTCAATATTACTTGATATTAACAGTATATTTAACGCAACTGACGAATTTAGTGCAAATAATTTATACCTCTGCAGCGAGACTCAAATCAGTTAAACCGTAATATCTATTAGGATATGCAGCTCAATCTATTTTGTGAATTTGCCAGATGTTTCAAACTACGTAGAGAAACCACATATAATTACCCTTAATTTCACTAGGTGATTAAGAATTTCATAATATGCACCATTGTTTCTTTTATTTTAACGTCCAAAACGCATTTAACTAGAGTTGAAATACTTTGATCCCTTTTAAACAGATTACAACAAGCCTGAGGAAGAACACGTAATTGGACATCTGTGCGAATAATTAGTTCCGGATTTTAAAGCTTGCTCTCTGACTTAACACCATGAACTTGACACAGATAGATATTTGATATATATGTCATATATATCCAACCAGCTTAAATTCTGAAATTTTATTATCTTCCTGGTATATTAATTAAATCTACATTTCCGTGAATTTTAAATATCTTCCCATTCGATTTC